CTTTCCGGTTGGTCAACAACATTCCTATCCAAAAGTTTTCACTCTTAAGTACTTCACTATGGTGTTGATCAATAAGCATAAATTTTAAGCTCGAATGATCCGCCTATCAATAAAATGATTAGTTATACTGCATGTCCGGCGCTTACATGCATGTACTGCATGTCCGGCGCACATTAAGCATAAGCGCCGGACATGCAATATAACTAATCATTTTATTGACGTGCATGAGGCGGATCATTCGAGCGTAAAATTTATGCTTATTGATCAACACCATAGTGAAGTACCTAAGAGTGAAAACTTTTGGATAGGAATGTTGTTGACCAACCGGAAAGGCCTTAACGGTAGTCATGATTTCACCCAACAATAGTAATTTATTCATAATTTATTGTATATAAGTATGTTCTGTGTAAAGCTAGGCACTCTGAAGAAGGCTGTGGCATGCAGCCGAAAATTTAGTTTTTGTATCTAATATACCTTTTTTTTAATAAACTTCTTCAAACGTAGCCGTTCTGTTTGTCACACATATATATATATATATATATATATATATATAGTTTTTCGTTTTACCTCAAAAAACCACAACAGTCTGTTTCATCCGTATAGGAATCATCATCATATATATATATATATATATATATATATATATATATATATATATATATATATATATATATATATATATATATATATATATATATATATATCACTAGCCTCCACGAAGGGGCTGTGCCCCGAAACGTATCTTTATCTTTACAACATGTATTTATTTATTTGAAGTTTAATAAAATTTATTTTCAATTTGAATTTTGATATATATATATATATATAATAATAGAGCCGAAAAATTCATTCCCCCCACCTTTTTCGAAAAAAATATCTAGCTACCACCACCTTTGCAATGCTGGGAAAATGCTGGGAAAAATTTTTAACACACCCAAACCTTTTGTTGCAAGATCAAAGGTCCAGACATAAGACTTTATTACAGCTTATCTACAAAGTAGCTTTTCATCTGCATTACCAAAAAAACAATTAAATAAGTACAATATATATATATATATATATATATATATATATATATATATATATATATATATATATATATATATATATATATACATATATATATATATATATATATATATATTGCGCACGCTCACTGCTTGCAGTTTGAGCGCTCTGGCATGGTTTTGATGTCCCACAATCGTGAGGCATCAAAGGTAACTATAAATAAGAGTTACTTTCATCCTGCTCATCAGCACTACACTGATGAGGCCCATTAGGCCGAAACGGTACCGTCTGTAGTTAGATATCGCTCTATGGCCTTTTAGGTCATATTGAGCGCTCTACAGGATGAGCCATGCCGCTTACGCATTGCGCACGCTCACTGCTTGCAGTTTGAGCGCTCTGGCATGGTTTTGATGTCCCACAATCGTGAGGTATCAAAGGTAACTATAAATAAGAGTTACTTTCATCCTGCTCATCAGCACTACACCGATGAGGCCCATTAGGCCGAAACGGTACCGTCTGTAGTTAGATAGATAGATAGATATATATATATATATATATATATATATATATATATATATATATATATATATATATATATATATATATATATATATATATATATATATGAAAAGTTTAAAAAGAATTTCTACAGGCATAAAATTGGAATAAAAAGATGTTAAAAATGTTTTAAATCTTTTTATTCCAATTTTATGCCTGATGAAATTCTTTTTAACCTTTTCAAATATTCACCGGGCATGTTACCTACAACCCCTTCATATATATATACATATATATATATATATATATATATATATATATATA